GTGTGTGTGTGTGTGTGTGTGTGTGTTGCTCTGGATAGATGGTGCAGCAAAAGTGTGGAAACTCATGAAATAATGGCTTTTGGGGGGTTCTGCAAGTGGTTAGAATAAATGGGGGACCAATTATAAGAGCCCTTGCTAGCCACTCTAAGGAGCTTGGTACTTATCCTGAGAGCAAAGGGGACACTTGGAAGGGATTTAAATGCGGGGTGTGGGCCGGGGCAGAGGGTTGATATGGTCTGATTTTATATTTTCCAATGTTCCTTCTGGTTACCTGTGAGACTGAAGGTTGGGAGAAGAGGGAGAAGGCTGGGACAGGGACCCAGGCAGCAGAGGAGGTGGTCCTGAAGTAGGGTGGTGGGGGCAGAGGACGGTGAGAAGGAGGTAGGTTACAGAGAATGGACAGGACTGGATGAGGAGATCAAGGAGAAGGTACAGGCAGGACCCTGACCAGACAGAGGTGCTGCACTCAGATGAAGTAACCAAGGAGAGTTTAACGAAAGGGTTATTAAAGGACGGGTGAGAGGCCGTGGTGGCTCAGTGGTAGAAGTCACACCTTCTATGCAGGAGACCCGGATCCTATCAGCCAATGCACCTCATGCACAGTCACCACGTCTCCCTCAGTGGAGGCTTGCATGTTGCTATGATGCTGAACAGGTTTCAGCACAGCTTCCAGATTAAGATGAACTAGGAAGAAAGGCCTGGCAGTCTACTTCTGAAAATCAGCCAGTGAAAACCCTACAGATCACAACGGTCCTGTCTGCAACCGATGATGGGGCTGGAACAGGACTGGGAAGCATTTCATTCCATTGTGCTTGCGGTTACCATGAGTTGGCGGCTATCTTGACAGCAGTTAACAACCACAAGAGGTGGGCAGGGCTAAGGCAAACAATCAATGGACAGTGCAGTACCCTGGGGCTAGAAAGACAGGGGAGCAGTTACACCCCTGGCCTTGAAGGGGTAAGTGAAGAGACGGTTACCAAAAGCTAGAGAGACTTATAGTTGCAGGTATAGTACAGGACAGGGCCACCTAGCAGGGGCTGTGACCCTCAGGAGAGGAGAATGGCCACCACCAACCTGTAAGAGAGAAGGGGACCAGGAGAAAGAATACCCCAGCCTTATTCTCCTCCCAGCCACCAGTCTCCTTCTGCTGCCTTTCATTGGCTAACTTCAACCAGAAGGCAGAGGGCAAGAGATTCATGAAGTCCATACAGGTCGCCCTCTCAGGGCACAGAGCAGGAGGAAGAAGGATGGACAGTGGATCTGGGTGGGGAGGCATTTCCCCAGTGCAGAGAGTAAGGTCATCGCTCGGCTTGGGGGACCAAGGTTGGGCTAGGTAGGAAGAACAGGTTTGGGGAAGATACTGAATTCAGGTGAGGTGCTTATGGGATGGAGTCCGTGGATGGTGCAAACGGTTAACGTGCTTGGCTGCTAACTGAAAGGCTGGGAGTTCGAGTCCACCCAGAGGTGTCTTGGAAGAAAGGCCTGGTGATCTACTTTCTGAGTCAATCTACTCAATGGCACCTGGCACTGGGCTTGTGGGACATCCTGAGGAGACAGCGGAGAAAGGAGGTGTCCTGGGACTCAGGAGAGGGCCCTGGACTTGAGAGAGATTTGTCAGCAATGAGATGTCACCAACCTATGGGAGCCTCCACTAGCCATGCCCCTACTCTACCAGGTGAGGTCTCCCAGGAAGTGTAATGTGTGAAGAGGGCCCAAACAACACCCTGGGAAGACCCAGCATTTCAGGGGCAGATGGAAGATGGGAGAAGGCAGAGAAGAAGGAAGGAAAGCAGGAGACTGGAGCACCAGGAAGCCAGGAAAAACAGAGAGTTTCCGGAATGAGGTCGTGGTCAGCCACGCCACAGGCTGCTGGGAGGTCAGGGAGGAGGAGCACAGAGAAACCACCCTCAGATTTAGGCATGAGGAGATTGCTGATGATCTTAATGAGAGAAGTTTGGTGAAGGGTACAGGGGGGCAAAAATCAGGCTGATCTGGCATGAGGAGGGAGAGGGAAGTGAGGAAATGGATGTGAAGGAAGTCACTGTAGAAAGATACGGGGCAGGAGAGGATTTTTTTCCCAAGGTGGGTAGAGGTATAGAGCAGGAGGGTCAAAAGAGCTTGAGAGACGTTCTTTTTTTTTTTTTTTAATTTATTGTGCTTTAAGGGAAAGTTTACAATTCAAGTCAGTTTCTCATACAAAAATTTATACACTCATGCTATGTGACCCTAGTTGTTCTCTTTATACTGTGATAGCACACTCCTCCTTTCCACCCTGGATTTCCTGTGTCCATTCAACCAGCTCCTGACCCTCTCTGCCTTCTCATCTCACCTCCCCGGACAGGAGCTGCCCATTTA